CTCCCAAAGAAATTGACGCTTTACAATTGTGGTAAAAAGTGTCTTATTATCCTAAGTATAGACACTCAGTTAAAGTTATTGCTCAAATATCTCCCTAACAATGCAAGGATATATGTTTTACTTGGAATTCTAAACTATGTATCTCCTTTATATGTGTTTATATGCGACAAACAACTAGCTTAGCACAACAAGTTATTCTCTAAACAATATTTGTTTAATGTTCAAATTATGTTTGTACACCTATTCACGACAGCTACATGCTTTGTTCAAATTTCCACCAACTGTTCGCTTATCCAATAAAATATATTGTATAAAAGAACAAAAGTGGGACAGTGTGCAGGACAACTGGAGAGGGGACAAATTATCTCCACTGCAGTGGCACTGTTGTCCCAGCCAGGCTGGTAAGCTGTGTTAACAAAGTATACATGTATCTTCTCCTTAGAATAACAGCAGAGTGTGGGTGACAGCGACTTTTTCCCTTTTGGTTTGGTAAATAGAACACTGCTGGGGAAGAAGAGTGGGAAAAGGGAAATCCTGAACCCCTTTAAATGGGGTGAGGTATGACAGGTTTCTGAGGTCAGAAACGGCAGAAGAAGGTGGTCACAGTGTTCCCCAAAGGTCATATCTTGGGATGAAGTTATTTATGGCACTGAAGAGGCATCAGAGGAGGCTTGGTAAGAATGTCTCTTCTCTCTCCCTTCCAGTTCAAGAATTCTGAGGGGCACCTGAGAATTCTGACTCCAAAGTTATAACCTGGCAATATTCTCTCTAAATATTTCCTGCTGGTGCATGTAACTAAAGCTTGACAGAAATACTGAATGAGCAATTAGACAAGGAGGAAGAGAACCTCCTATGAACGGAGTCACAGAAAGGTGAATGAAATAAAATAAGAATGTCAGTCAGTCACTTTATTATTATAGTCTTTGACCAGTACATAACAATTTAAAAATAAGAATGTGTGATCAAAGGTGACAGAGAGATCAAGGAGACTTGGGAAAGAATACAGACTTTTGATTTGGCAGTGAGGAAATGAATTATTTTGGTGTGGACACAAAGGTTATTTTGCAACCATGCTGTCCTATGCAGAGTTCCACCTTTCTAAGTCCATTGAAACCTATTGGCGTAACTCTGCTTAGGATTGTACTGGGCGTGATTGAGTGTGTCACATGTCCCAGAAGGTGGAGATGGTAACAGACATGACTTTTCACTTTCCAGATCCCTGCTGCCACCACCCATGTCCAAAGTGCTGCTAGAACTCACTGTGCTTCTAAGCTGGGGATAGCACAGGTACTTGGAAAAGGCAATGGGGGCCTCTAATTAAAAACAGTGTTTCCCCCATCTCACAGCATTTTAAAAAGTGCCTGGGTATAGTACAGTGCAATACTATGCAGAGTTACTCTGATCTGGTTATTCGAAAGTGTTGTCAAGTCACAGTCGACTTATGATGAACCTGTAGAGTTTACAAGGCAAGCAATGGTTTGCCATAGCCTGCCTCTGTATAGCAACCCTGGACTTCCTTGGTGGTCTCCCATCAAGTACTAAACAAGGACTATCCTGCTTAGCTTCCAAGATCAGATGTGATTGGGCTAGACTGGGCCATTCAGTTGACACCCATTACTCCAGTATACACAGAGAAAATGATGCATATTGAAATGGGTAAACTCAGGTGATGTTTAGGTAGACCCTAACTGAAAGAAGTTTGAGCAAGACCTCCATGTGTTCTCTGAAAAATGAGGAATCTACACTTTGAAGGGTTTGTTAAACAAAACCCAGGTGTGTTTATTTCATATATGAATGATGGCTCCTACACATCACTAAGTAATTTTTTTTAAGTTGGCAAAGAAATTCTTGCCCTGCATTTTATATCTCTTCCCTCCCCTTACTCTAAGAGGCTTACTTCTCATTCCATATACTGTGCCTTATATTTTATAATACTCCTGTCCATTAATATTTACTTGAGTGTAATGCCTTGGGTAGCCCAGGCAAGCCCGATCCCGTCAGATCTCGGAAGCTAAGCAGGGCTGACCCTGTCAAGTACTTGGTTGGGAGACCTCCAAGGAATACCAGGGCTAGGAGGCAGAGGCAAGCAATAGCAAGCCACCTCTCTGAAATGTCCAAGCCCCACTAGGGGTCGCCAGAAGTCAACCATGATTACTAGGCGCACACACATACATACAACCCCCCCCCCAATTTACTTGAGTATAATCTGTAACACAAAAAACCCTCCACTATATATACATATATAGTTAGTTTACTTTTTTATTTGGAAAATGGGGCAAAGGAGGATAATACAAGAAGTGGAATGGACAGAGGAGACACTGAGGAATGAGGAGACGAAATGACCCTTTCTGCCTTTTTCATCAGTGTTACCATAGCGTGAAAAGCAATAAATATTTCCCAACTATTTCAAACAAGTGATCACTATGATAAATCTCATTTTCAATATCTCTACTATTTGGGCTGTGATAATTGCTACTACTTAGGAATATTCCTAACCTTCCAACTCAAAAACAGGTCATTTTCGTCAGCTTTTTAAAACGAGCCCCAAAGAGGACGGCTGCCAAAAAAAGAGTCCAGTAGCACCTTAAAGACTAACAAAATTTGTGGCAGGGTATGAACTTTCATGAGTCACTGCTCACTTCTTCAGATACAGCTAGAACGCGAGTCTATCTATCATATATATTGGAAATTGGAGTGATTTCAGATGCTGAATGACATTAGCAGGTAAATGACAATAGCAGGTGTGACTGGTTTATGCAGAGGGGTAAGTTGGCATGGAGAAATCAGCACTGGTAATGCAACAGGAAACCTAGGTCTTGAGTCAGTCCATGTGGATGCATTGTCTTGAGCTTCATTATCAGTTGCAATTCAGCAGTCTCTCTTTCTAATTTCCATTTGAAATTCCTGTGTAAGAGAACTGCTACTCTTAGGTCAGCAACTGAATGTCCTGGAAGGTTAAAATATTCCCCCACTGGTTTTTGAATGTTGTGATTTTTAATGTCAGACTTATGTCCATTAGGCTGACCTTTTCTTGCTTACAAAGAGCCTGCTAATCTAAAACAACTTTTCACCCACAATGATAAACTGCTTAACAGTAACATGGACTCTGGTACCATAGCCTGCAACAAACCAAGATGCCACCTTCACTCTCCTATAGATCTTAGCAGCAACATCAGCCATACCATCTCAGGTTCATACTCCTGCTCATTCTCTAATGCGATTTATGCCATCATGTGTCAGCAATGGCCTTCCACCCTCTACACTGGACAAACAGGCCAGTCTCTTCGATAAAGAATTAACGGACATAAGTCTGACATTAGAAACCACAACATTCAAAACCCGTGGGGAAACATTTTAACCTTTCAGGATATTCAGTTGCTGACCTAAGAGTTGCAGTTCTCTTACAAAGGAATTTCAGAAAGAGAGACTGTTGAATTGCAACTGATAATGAAGCTCAAGACAATGCATCCACCTGGACTGAATTGAGGCCTAGGTTTCCTGTCTCATTACCAATGCTGATTTCTCCATGCCTACTACCCCTATGCATATGACACCTTATCCAATCACACTTACTATTATAATTCACCTGCTATTGTCATTTGACTGCTAATGTCATTCGGCATCTGAAATCACTCCACTTTCCAATATATAGGCCAGACGGACTCACATTCTAGCTTTATCTAAAGAAACGAGCAGTGACTCATGAAAGTTCATATCCTGCCACAAATGTTGTTAAGTCTCTAAGGTACTACTGGACTCTTGCTCTTTTCTACTGCTACAGTCAGACTAACATGGCTACCCATCTTGATCTATCACCAAAAAAAGAGGATTGTATCCTCTAAAAAGAGGACATCTGGTAACCGTAGTCAGTGTACCTCCACTCTTCTGTCTCACTGCAGTCTTCTGATCCACCTAGTTATGAATCCATGCAGGTCTCACAACACCAGGAATAAACTTTCTTGGGTCAGAAAGGGTGGTTGGAGGGGAAACATGAGAAAGATCATAATCCCTGTGCCTGCAGGACCCAAGCCATACTTTGCACAGTATTAGCAGGGCTGCTAGCGTGTAAGGGCCATGGGGTCCAACTGTTACATATGGCAAAGTAAATGTTAAGTCTCCTAAATGGCTCTGGCCAAGTCCCCTCAAGGGTCCTTGAGAACTCTGACCAAGTGTCCATCAGGTCTGGAGGTGGTAGGCTTTTCATCTAGCTGGAGAGGGCCAGATGGATGTCTATGTGAGGAGGCAGGACAATTTGTTTGATTAGAAAAGAAGAAATACAAAGAATAAGCAAGCAGAAAATGCTGAGGAACAAGGTAAAGAAAATGGTGGGTGTAGAATCTCTCCGCCTGAGCATTTGTGGGGTAGTAAATATATTATCTTGTAGGAGAACATCTACCCCCCCCCCCTTCTGCCTATGTCTCTGTAAAGAAAGCAAAACAGAGTTCTGTTTCCTCCCTGGGGGAACCAACCCAGGTAAGGTTGGAACCTTACTGCTCAGAGACGCAGGGAAACCAGAACAATATTTTGGGGTAGGGCTTATGCATCTTGAACAGTTATATCAGAAGCAGCATTTCAACAATTTAATATGCAATGGTGAGCAAAGGATCAGCATTTGAATATCTGCCTGTTATGCCTCTGTATGAGGTACAGTCTACTGCCAGACAGAAGGGCCTCAATATTCACTGAAAGTTCTCTAGAGGACTGATGCGACAGCTTACCACACAAGTGCACAACGCTTTACATTGCCCGTGTAGCAACTGAGCACTGCTTGGCTGTCTGCCCTGGGCTGAGAGCCTCACGACAGCTTCTCAAGAAAGGCCTGAGAAGGGAAGCCGAGGCCACGCGACCAGCCGCAGCAGGCCAGAAGAGTTCGAGCTTGAATCCCTCCCTGTCATTGAAACAGGACCTTCCCAGCAGGGGAGCGGCGATGCCCTGCTGCCGTTTCCACAGAACCCTGATCAGCTTCAAACCGCCCGAGAGAACTTTTCTCGTCGCCTTTTCTTCCCACACCTCCAGCCGGCTTCGCCTGTAGCCGGGATAGGGACTAAGCCGGCCGCCCCGCCCCAGACCATCGCCCGGGCGGCGGAGGGCCTATCCCCGCCCCTCCCCTCCTCCTCCTCGCTCACGCCCTTATTTAACTGCGAGTCCCAACTTTGTTACCCGCTCACTCGTCCTCTCCCTCGGGTGCCCGCCTCAGCCGCTGCTCGCCTCGCTCGCCTGCACCCCTCAAGATGCGCGCAGGGCTCCTGCTCCCCGTCGTCCTGGCGCTCTGGGTCACCATCGCCTTTGCGGCCAGGGCGCCTTACGAACAAATCCTGCATCACAGCAGAATCCGGGGCAGGCATCAAGGGTAAGGTTTTGGAGCAGCCAGCCAGGGAGGGACGGAGGGGGAGGGAGGTGGTCTCTCTGATCTGGGAGCCAGCCGTCCCGTGCAGTCGGCGAGCGACTGTGCAAGACCCGGCTTGCGTTTGTTGCATTAGCGGGGGAGGCGGGAGGATGCTTCCCAAGTTTTCCTGGAAATGGAAAACGGGCACCACGAAGCAGGAGCCTCTAAACTGGAGTCTCTTGAAGTCAGCACTACTTATATGTAGCTGGGCCAGGTAGAAAGGAAGGAAGTTCGCGCCTTTGTTAAGTTTGTATTGAGTCCTGCATGCTAATCCTGTTGAGAAGGTGGGTTGCAGGGGAAATTGCCTTGCTGGTCTACAAGGGTTTTTCTGGGGGAAGGGGGGGGGGGGTTGAACGAAAAAAATTGTCCATGCAGTATGGATAGACTGCGATTTCCAGGAGGCTGCTCTGGGAACAAGTGAGGAATCTACGTAGCCTGAGGACCATGTGGCTTATAAAGATGAGTTGTCCTGCCCGAAAAGATGAGAGCTTCTTCCCTTGCCCTGGGTCTGGAAAGAATAGGCTTTGAAGTTAACTAAACTGATTTTTATTATACTTTACTTTACTTTGTGGGACGTTTTGAAGTTGTGCAGTCCTCCTCCTGCAAAACATGATTAGTAACTTCGCCACTTCTGAGACAGTACTTAAAACCAGAAAATAACATTTAAAGACACTTTAAACTGAACTTTATTGAGGTTAATGTGCATACATTCCCCCTGTCCATGAATTTATCTTCAGAGAGTTTGAATTCTATGGGGTGGTGAGTGGACTGGGAGCAAATCGACAAAAACCCCATGAAACTTTTAGCCAACCTTTGGTGGTAGAAAGTGCCATCAAGTCACAGCCAACTTCTGGTGACCTTGTAGGCAAGGGATTACAGGGCTTGGTTTGCCATTGCCTGACCCTGTGTAGCAACCCCGGGCTTCCTTGGTGGTCTCCTATCCAAGTACTAACCAGGGTGGACCCTGCTTAGCTTCTGAGCTCTTGATGAGATCAAGGTAGCCGCAAGTATTCTGATCAGGGCAACCAACATTTGCTTGAATTTAAAATGGCCAAACCCAGTGCTTCTTAAAGTGTCTGAATTGTGGTCCCCTTCCTGACCAGACTGTACCTTCTGGAGAGCTTCATCCCAATGCTGCTTATTTGTTCCATAGGTGAATGGCAGAAGTTCTTACACAGAGTTCTTGGTACTCATCCTGCTACAAAATGTGAGGGTCTGTGGGTTAAGCAAGTAGTCCACACTGGCATAGAAGAGGAATAGAACTGGGAATTGCTGACCCCTCCGTAAGCCATGATCAGAAGTCTTTTTGAACTGCCTTCTTCCCAAATTACATTGGGATGATGAAGGCAGTAAGAGCAAAGCTCCATATCCCCATGAGGATCAGTGAGGATCCATGGCCAAAGCTTGTTCAGTCTGTCTGGGACTGGCTCATGTGGGAGAAAGGAACTCTTTGCCTTAGAATTCTACCCTTCTCTGGAATCTCTTGTTCTCTCACCCGGTGCTGCTTGGTCTCCGAAGACAGCTGCAGAGTTTGTGCACTGCTCAACCATATTCTGCAATGCAAATAAGTCACCTTGTTGTATAGGCACATCGGGGTGGGAACAGATAAATACAATGTTGAGCCTCTATTGTGATTTCAGACCATGCCCACAAGCTTATAGAAAATACAGATCACAGTGTGACTCAAAATGGGAAAGTCAGTCATACTTTGCTGTAAACATATTACCCTCTGCTGATATGGTATAACTATTAAAAGTGTGTTCATTTAAGGATATGTGTATATTTGATTAAAATATTTATACCATGCCTTTCTCTTGTGGCCCAGAGCAGCTTACAATTCTAAAGTGCAGGCGCAAATTTTAAAATAAAGCTCCATCAATGCCTCTGCTCAGAAAATTCCTGCAGCTCAAATCCTGTGAAAAGCTTTACTTAATAGCCTTACAGCACCTTAAAAAAGCTTCCAGGGACAGTACCCCCCCTTATCTCCTCAGGAAGTCCATTCCATCAGGTAGAAAACACTACTGAAAAGGACTGGACTCAACTAGAAACCAGCTGGGCCACCTTAAATGGGAGGGGGGGGAAACCCAGAATGTGACAGTCAGAGGTCTGCAGTGGGAGAACTATGGAGAGGGGAGAGTCCTTCAGGTATGGGGTTCTAAGTCACAAACTACTTTAAAGACATTCCTAAATAACAGCCCCATAGTACCAAGCAATTCTTATATCCTACAAAAAAGGAGGTCAGAACGTCCTAATGCGTGGGATACTACTGGGCCTACTGATGTTGGATAGCTTTCAGAATAAGTGAGAGCACTCACTCATAAATGGTAGCAGCCCACATTTCTTTCCAAGAAATGAAAGGGAATGTCCTAGAAATCCTGACATCGAACCCTCCCTTTTAAATCTACTATAAAAAGTGGGGGATTAAAAGCACCCTTCACACCATATAATTTTAAAATTTAAACTAATTTAAACGTAGGTTGCTGTGAACTGAGGCAACATGACAGAAAAGGAAATGCCATATGTCTTCCATGTTATAAAAAGTGCTACATTGCCTTCTTTGATAAGATTGTGTTTAGGTGGTTTGTGTGAGCTCCCTGCTTAGGGCTATAAGCAGTGTTCCCTCTAAGCTGAGTTAGTGTGAGCTAGCTCACAATTTTTTATCCTCCAGCTCACACACTTTTGCCTTGTCTCAGGAAGGAGGGCTCCAGCCAAATCACTGGCTCACAACTTTAAAGCCAGTAACTCACAAAGCAGAATTTTTGCTCACAAGACTCCACCAGCTTAGAGGGAACATTGGCTGTAAGTATAGTGAAAAATGAAGTAGAGAAAAATAAAATAAGGCAAATGTACCACTCCCACCCATTCATACATATGCTTGGTTTGATAGAACTTAGATGTGCATAAGAGCACATGATTGCAGTTTGGCTGTTCCATCCCAAAGGTTAGTCTTTCGATTCATTTGAAATCTGACCCAAATGCTTGCTGCTCCAAAACATGCATTAAAAGTTAAAGGATGGCAAGGCAAGAGAATTACCCATATTGAAACAAACCAGATCAAGCTGATACATGCAGGAGACTGAAGTTCTGGAAGGCTTTAAACACAAGAGATACATACTCCTATTTAAATGGCAAATCATACAAGCCCCAAGAATTTCAAAAGAACTTGTCCTCTACAGCAGAGGAGTTGAGAAGTCAGCAGGATTGGAAAGTATAGGAGGCATTCCTCAAGTTGATTCTCTTGTTATTATATGTACATAGATACAAGAGGGTCCTTTTTGGCATTAATGTATTAGGTTCAAGAAGTACTGAGTCATATTTGAGTTTGATGGGTGGGGGCTAAAAGGGGCTGATCAAAATGAGAGAGAAGAAAGAAAAACAGGGATAGAGGATAGATGAGATCCTGATGTTTGCCACCTCCACTTGCAATATCAATGCAACTGTCCTGTGTGTGAGAACACTAGATAGAGTGCTAAGGTTATATAAACCATTCATCTGACCCAGTATGGTATTTCTATACAGGAAAACCTTAAAACAATGGAGGCAACTAGTCTAGAAATGAATGATGGTTTACAACTCTCCAAAATTTGTAGGTTCTCTTGTTTGTTTTTATACATTTAATCCTTTTGTTTTGTACTCACTGATGACTTAAATAAGACCCAACTTTATTCCTAAATTGTAACTTCCAGTGACTAATGGAAATCTTTACACAGTAGTAATTGAAGCTTTTAAAATTATTATTATTGTTACTGAGGGGAAGAAGAGGTCAAGATTTTGTATTCATTCAGGGAAATCTTTGAAAAATCTGGCTTAGGAAAGAGGAAGCTCAGTCACATTCCAGTTCAGTTTATAATAGCCATTTTATATTCTGATCTTCTGGCAAGTTAAAGTACAGGAATAAAAGGATTCCTTCTTTATAAACACAGTGCTTCTTTTTCAGACTTATTATTGACAGGGCATCTTTAAACACCATGGGAATGGGAAACTTACAATGTCTTTTTCCCTTTCCTTTATCTGTAGTCCCAATGTCTGTGCTGTGCTGAAGCTTATTGGAACGAACAGGAAATACTTGCCAAACTGCAAACTCTGGTACCAGAGGAAAATCTGCGGCAAATCAACGTAAGTTCTTGAGGGGCTTAAGGAAAGACTATGGTATGAAGGTAGATATCTAATGACTTGCGGAAGGGGGAGGAGGGGTTACAGCAGTCCTGGACATCTACTTAGCCACCAAGCCAAAGACAACATCTCTGTTTTTGCAGTCCTAGGCAGATGGCAAAAACAAGATGATTATCCAACTCCTAGGAGCTCCTGGTGAAAACTGGCTGAAGGGCATCTGAACAGATTTAAAGACAAATTGTTACGTCACATTTTTTCTGAGATCTGGCACTGGAGACAACTTTTGTAGCTGCTGAAACCTAGTCTGGATTCAGTTCTAACATATACACCTCATTTTTCCATTTCCGTGGTGGAGAGATGACTCTGTCTAGCAGAGGTTATCAGTCCAGGCTCACAAACCACAATTTGTACTCGATGCTCTTTGTCTCCCATTGTAAACGAGTTTAGGAGAATATGTTCTGCATAATGTGCTGTTGAATCAGAACATTCCATGGTAATGACATGCAGCCCCAATGGCTACATTGGAGAAGTATTCCTCCAGATGCAGACAGCTACACTGTTGGATATCCAAAGCATCTTCCTTTAATGGCTCTATATCACCTTAAGACACTTCAGTCTTGGAATGGCTAGCACAGCAAGAATGTGGGAGATGCATATGACCGCTATTAGAAAAAGGACAACCGGGGAACCTGTGAGAGTCAATGGGGAGAATATCCCAGTTTGGCAGGCCAGGCAGTTGCCAGCCAGCCTATCTAGCTGCAGCACCACAACCACTACCTCCACCTGGGTGGCTCACATGGTGGTGGTGGTGGTGGGCTACAGAGTACCCCCCCCGCGTGTGCGCTCAGCTCAAGGGGTGGGGTGGCAGCCACAGCAGCAACTCCTGGTCCTTCTCCCCACTGACTGGCACACCATTTTGGATGCAGAAGAGGGGGCTCCTGCTGTGCTCCCCTGCTTTGCCTGAAGTGGTGCAGGGGTAGGGGCAGCAGCAGCTCCTGTTCTTCCTCCCCCACCCTCCTGCAGAACCTGCAGACTGCAACCTTGGCGGTGGCTCCTACTCCTCTTTCCTGCCTGCTAGCCTGCGGAGGAGAGGCAGCAGTGGTAGGGCTGGTGTAGGCAGCAGTGGCACCCCAGCTGCATCCAGGCATGTGGGCTCAGCCGGCCGCTTCTCCCCTCTCCGCTGATGGTAAGTCTGTGCTGTCTGTACAGATGCAGACAATGCTCTTCTGTTTGGGGAGGATTTAATCCCCCTTCCTTTTTAAGTTTTTAGATTTTTTGCAAAGCTGGAGGGTCCTCTGTGTTTTTTAGGAATATGTTTTCTCTTTAAATGACCACAATCTGTGCATTTAAGTATATATTGACAAGTGGGGCACCCACAAGGACTTGTGGGGGGCATCTCACTTTCTTCTGTATTCCCCTCCTCCACTGTGTCCTCTTTCCCTCCTTCTGGCAGCCTCTGTATCCTTCCCCCTTCCCCTACTTCCTTTTCTCTTTCCCACCAACCCGCCTAGCTTTTATTTGTCTCCCATCTTCTGCTATAATTATTTATTTACTTCATTTCTATTCCATTTTTCTCCCCAGGGGGGAATCAAAGCAGCTACATAATTATCTTTTCCTCCATTTTATTTTCACAACAACTCTGCAAGGTAGGTTAGCTTGGGAGCGTGTCACGGGCCCAAAGTCACCTGCCGGGCTTTCGTGGCTGAATGGGGATTTGAATCTGGGTCTCTTAGATCCTAATAACCCCTACATCAGACTGGCTGTGGTGAGGTGGCTGCTGTTGAATGGTCATGGTCAGGCCTGGGTGAGTCATGGAACTCGCATGGTATCAAGCTGCCCAGTGATTGCTGCTGGGCCTGTCCCAGATGAGTTCTCCTCAAAGACCAGAAACAGCCCGGGGAAAGAGCCATGCCCCTCCCCTGCCTTTTACTTACAGAAGCTAAGGATTGAAGGCTGGCAACAGCCACTGAAGGCATTTGTTTCTTAAAGCTGAAATTGCTGCTTCCATCGTTTTTTGGAGGACTGCAAGCCACCAATGTATTTTTTGTTAGATTTTGTGATAGGCTCCAGGCCAGGGGGCTTTTGAGGGGTAGCCTCTTCGATGGCGTAATGCCGGAGAATTGAGGCTCCCCTCCGCCCCAACAGTCCAGTCGCTGAGTGGCCTTCGGGCATAAGCTGTCTTGTCTTTCCATGGCCCCAGTAACCTTAATTTAAATATCCTCAGATTTGGCCAAATTGAGAATTAGATCTATTGATGATATTAAGGCTTGGGGGGGTAATCTCCCTTTTAGCCGAACTCGAGTTTCCAGAAATGTATAGTGTTTTTCTGAATAATTTACAAGATTTCAATTTCTATAGAATCCTGGGCAAATCACAGTCTTATTTCTCTAGATTAATCATTAGCTGTTCTCCTGGGGTATTCATTCATTCCTTTATACTGCATAACACCGAAGCTACTCTTCTTGTATGGAAAGCCTTGTTAGCTGCTTTACGTAATTTCAGTGCAGGAAAAATAATTTACATTGTGATATGTGAGGGCATTGCAAGTGTTTATTTTGTCATGATGACACATGTTTGTGTCACAGAGCATATGCCAAATATTTCTATGGTTATTTGACAACTTCATCAGCCACCATGAGCGAGATTTACAAATCCAATGGGGCCCATGCCTGCAGATGTTAGCACTCAACAGACATTGCATAAAGCATCCTATGTAAGTGGCCTAGACACGTACTTCTGGGAGGGGTGGTCTGCACCTAATTAAGAGTGTGTACATGTTTGGCTGACTGCCAGTCTTGAGCTGAAGTCTGCTAGTCTTCTATGGAAGGTGTAAACTCCAAAAGGTCATGGAAACTCCCAAAAAGTGGAATCTGGGGGATGAGACAGTCTCACAAATGTACATGAAAGACTCCAGACAGCTAACTGCATTTGAGCAATTTCTATGTTTGTAAGCAAAACAACCATAAACAAAAGTTTCTGTGTGAGCTGAGACAAACATGGCCTTGGACATTTCAGAAACAGAAAGGGTGAACTTATGTCAAATGAACAACCATCTCTTCAGAACTAGTGTGTTCTGTGTATAAACTAGCAACACATTAATACTTGGCTTTGTGTAGTGAAGAGTGCTGGCCTTGGGTTGAGAAGACAGACCTTCAGATTCCTACTGAGCCACGAAGCTGACTGAATAAGCCTGGGCTAATCGCTTTCTCTCTACCTAACCTAAATCACAGAGTTGTTCTAAGGGTTGCTGAAGGTTTCTTGCCATGAGCTCACTAGAGAATAATATTTTATCAGAAAGGTTATATAAATGGGATATACCTATCTTTTTGTTTGTGTGTTGCTATAGGAAAATATGCTACAGTTGGGTATTGTAGGAAATCAGAGCACACTTCATGCTTGGTATAAAGCTACTGGAAACTCCGAGACAACGGGAAGATTAAGGCCCAAATTGCCTTTGGCTTGATATTAGACATGCAATAGAATGAAGTGGCAGAGTGGGCTTTAGACTTAGGGTGTGGAAATCAGTTTTAAATGGTCTTTCATAGAAAAAAAAGCCTCCCTGCAAATAGAAAACTAGCACAGAATGGAAAAGATTAGGTCAGAATCTTCCTGATTAGCTATTTTTTATTTGGAGGGAATATTTACATGAAGGAACATTAAAAATATGGCCACACCTGCCATCTGACCTCATCCAGCTACATGGGTTGACCAGGCCTTTGTCACCAAGGAATGTTAATAGTTTAGAACCAAACATCTGTGAATTGTAACATTCTAGAGTAAATTCCTCTTTATCAGTCTAGGACAGCTAAATGTCTCTCATTCATGAAATAGATGATGCTACTGTGATTTGTTACACATGGTGCTACACTTAAACAGTGTTTGGAAAGCTACAGTTGGTGCAAAATGTTATGACCAGAATTCTGGTTAGAGTGGGTCATAGGGACCATTTTGTTCTACCTACCATGGCTCCCAGTTTCTTTCTGGGCCCAATTCAAGGTACTAGTATTGACCCTTAAAGCCTTACATCTTAAGGACCACCTGCTACCATATGAACCTATCCGGCCACTGAGGTCATCTTTGGAAGCTATGCTTTGAGTATCCCTGATAGGGCTGCCAAGCTGCGGCGGGGGATCCGCACATCTTCACAGGATCCCTGCCGCGGGGGACAGCGATACACGTTGCACTGCCATCACCAGGATGTGACGCTACGCGTCGCTCTGGCAAGGGGGCCTCCAAACAGCCCCGTTGCCAGAGCGATGCGTAGCGTCACATCCTGGTGACGGCGGTGCAACGCGTATTCTTGGGCTAGACCCAAGAAAGGGGTCTTGATTGTGGTATTAAAATTACGGAATTCCTCCCCATGGGTCCCTATCATTACTGTTCATCAGTGGATGAAGACTTTTCTGTTTAACCTGCCATTCCCTCAGTAATTCTCATTGACTTTTCCTCCCATTCATTTATCTGCAATGTTTTAATTGTTTTTTATATTTTATAGGTGTTTTAAATCTTGCTTTGTTGTTTTTAGTATTCACCACCTTGGACACCCTAAATTAGGTGGAAAGGCAGCTTAAAATGTTATAAATAAAAAATTATGTTTTTAAAAAGTGTTCTGTAAGCAGTTCCTATAGTGTACTTAATTTCTGAAGCCTTGTTCTGGCAATTCCTCTTCTGCAAGTGGCTATTCTTACAGCTTCTCTTTAGTCACAAGCTCTTAGCCAGGCATGGGCTTGCATCTGCAGGCACATACTCCTTTTATGGTGGCAGGATCCTCATCCCAAGGCTGCATTCAAGTCCAGCAGCACTTTAGAAACCAACAAGATTTTTGGGGTATTGGTCTCCTGGACTCGAATCTAGCTCTTCTACTGCAGACCAGCGCAGCTACCCTCCTGTAACCATTCCAAGGCCAGCTTCGGTAGGAAGCGGTGTCCTTCAGGCAGTGAAGTTAGAACAGGAGCCATTTTCAAGTCTCCAGCTCTTTGTCATTATAAAAACAGGTGCTCCAG